GCCATGAAGATTAGCCCTGATTCATTTTCTTAAGTTAGCAACATGTCTTAAAGCCATGTGCGAGGGGGCCTAAGCAGAACACATGGACCTATGTAAGTGTGGAGATCAGGAAAGGTGTGTCAGGGCGCCGTGGCTCTGACCCGCTAAGCACAACGCTTAATAACGGAGGAGAGGGAGCTGAAGACCTGTCCACTGTGTTTAAAATGACTCTTTAGTTAATCTGGAAATGTTACAGATTTATAGACGGCCAAGGTGGGACCTGTGTTTGGAGAATGTGGGAGATGTACTCAGACACGTTCCTTATTGAGCAGTTAGTCTATACATGGGGGGGGGGAAAGCCAGTGAAGCTGCACCGTTGAACAATCATTGTTTGCCAACATGGTTTTCTCATTCTGCATGCAAATATACTGCAACGACGGGATCTCAACAGGGTCTTTAGAGCTGGGAGGCTAAAAGGGGCCAACTGCTGCACACCAGCAGGTCACGATTGTTATTATAAAACAGAATAAAATCTGAAAACATGATGTCGACATTAGCAGGGGGAAAGAGATTCAGGGAAATGTTTGAAACCTGCAACCACATAAAAAGACCGCTGTCCACCTTCATACTCCATAATGACAGCATGCTGCTTTAAAGGAGGACATATTCTCCCCCTCCTCCACCTTTTCAAACAGTCCCCTTCTCCACCTTTTCAAACAGTCTGTGGTCTAAATGAAACATCTGTGCTGAGCTTTGGTCAAAATATAACATGAATCAAGCACCAGAGGAGGTTTGTGACCCTGTATAAACCAGCTCTCTCAGAACGCTCCGTTTTGGTGTGTGTGTCTCTTTAAATGCAATGACCCCCCCCCTGAGTTTTCCCCGTAGACATCACTCCTCTGTAGCGAGAATAAAAATGGCCGACCTGCTCAAAAGTTATGTTCTAGGCTGGGGGTGGAGTCCATGGGTGGAGATACCAGGGGAGGGGAGGGGATTTTATTTTACCAGAATCCCACTGTGACATCACAAGGATGCAGACCACAAACAAAGGACTGGATGGTTTATTTCACATGTTGTGGGTCAGTAGACTCTCAGGTTACCCACATATATGTTCAAAAACACTGAAGTGGATTTTTTTTATAACATGTCTCCTTTAAAATCTGCATCTACATAAAAGACCTCCGACTTTGTCCACCTGTAATCCGACACCTTTATATTCCATGATGAGAGCACACTGCGTTAGATTGCAACACGAGGTGATACATGCACACTGGGAGCACGACACCCCTCCTCTCACCAGGTCGAATAAATCAACCTCGATTGTTTATTCGACCTGGTTTAATTTCGCTCGGCTTATTAAAGCTGCAGATAAGTGCCGTTCTGGGAAAACTGCCATGTTATCTCCAGAGCTAATTAACAACATCGCAAAACAAGAAAGCTGGTGCCAAGACATGCGGCTTCCTTTACAGCGAGCGGTGCGGTGGATTATGTGTGTTGAGAGCGTGAGGACAGCGGAGGAACAATGATTAAGTGTTTAATGTCACGTCTGCACTCCCATTAAGTCGTCCAATGAGTTCATTTAGACGCAGTCCTTTCAGACGCAGACTCATTGTTTCGTTTGAAACAAACATATTTGATATTCCAGATGCAGTCGCGTATGAACGTCTATAAAACTACTCCATCTGAAAATCATCTTTGCAAGCTCAACTGCGGCAAAGAAGACGATAATACATTCCTGGTTCTCTGTTGAATCTCCATCGATAAAGGAATGGTTTAACTATTTTAGAGACATCTCTCTTATTGAAAGATCATTAGCTTAATAAGATTTCCTTATTTCAACTCTTATTTCCACTTTGTCTTGAACAAATATAACCGGTATTATAAACAAAACGTAAACCTACACTTTTTGTGAAATTGTTTACTTGAATTATTTTATTTTGTATCTGTTTATTTGTTTTAGTTTTATTTATTGAGCTGTGTCTTTAGGTTTTATTTTGTGTGCATATGTGTGTGTGTGTATATATATATGTGTGTGTGTGTACATGCATATTATAATTTCATTCAGTAATTTTGTCTTTGTTTCATATTTTATGTATATCTTTCCTCATCAAGGCAATGGTGATCTGTAAATAGTTTGTATGTTTGATGTCTTGGGTTTCTGTCATGTGTTTCAGCATCTTGTGTAAAATTTCAATAAAAAGTTGATCACAAAAAACATTACTCCATCTGACAGAGGAAGTTGTTAGCTTCTGTAGTTTTTCACATTTCTTTGTTGTTTAAACTAAACGCACTTAGCAGACTCCCCCCCCCCCTCTCTCTCTGTGCAGCAGCAACATTTCCAGAACACGCAGCCGCCTCGTCAGTTATTTAATGCCGTGCCGCCCGAACATCAATCCTGCATCAAACAATTAGTACAAGCAGAGGGGTCAGAGATCAGCCAGGGGTTATTGATGTGTGAATTAAAGTGCAGGTCAGCAGGATGCCATGTTTTCATACGGGCCCGGACGTGAACAATGAGAGCACAACAAATGAGACACAAGAGCGCCCGGCCCCCATAGTGACAGGCCAGCAGTTAGTCAGGCTTTAATTCAAGCCTGTGCTTTTATTCAGCCGTTCATCAGTGGCTGCCGTCCAATCAGATCGCGTTTTAATGTCTTTACGGGGATCAGTCAGCTAAAACAGACAGGAGAGAGAGAGAGAGAGAGAGAGAGAGAGAGAGAGAGAGAGAGAGAGCTGCACAGCCGGGCGTCCCGACACTAAATAATCTCTCTCTCAAAATAGTGATCGAGCTCTCAAAATGTTCAGATCTTCAGTCTTACTTTAAAAAAACAAAAAGCTGCCACGAGTGAGAGAGAGCACCGTGTAAGATGCACAAACATGTTGGAAATGTTTCTGTTCTGACACGTTGCAAACCTTTTTGTGCACTTTAGAGATTTTCTTTAGGAATGTTAAGTTCAATCCTTGATGTATAAATCTCTTCCTATTCTTATTTTTTATATATTTTAAGTGCTTATTCATGAATCTATTCTTATATTGTTTTATTTGCTCTGATAACATGCTGCTGTTACACCACAATCTCCCAGTTTGGGATCAATAAAGTCAGTCTATTCTATTTGTAATAAAAACAATAAATCGGCTCATTTGGCTCGACTTCTATTTTTGTTGCTGTGGAGTCGATATTGTTTGATTTTTATTATTGGTATTATTGGTATCGTGGTGACCCTCATCTCGTGTGGTGTGTGTGTATCTATAAATGTGAAGTGAAGCAGCGGTGTGTTTGAAACCACAAACAGCATTAATTAGTCAACACTGACATCAGCCAGGTGTCACGTTTCAGCGCGGCCCTCGACCCCGCATGAAAGCGCTGCTGGGAAAAGCATCTTTGATAAAAAAAAAAAAACCCTAATTGACTAAAAAAAAATCACATTAGCAACACACGGCGGGTTAGCCCGAGAGTTTCCTCCAATGTGCTGCCCTTTGCAGCCTTTGGTGTCCAACATCTGCTCCGCTTCCAACCCTGCAGACGTTTAGCTCTATGAGGCTTAATGAGAGCGCTCCTAAACATAGCGTTTGATCAGGGCAGAATGACCCCTCAGCCTTCACAGTCCCCTCTCTGTGCACCTTATCCTGCTCTCTCGTTTGTTTTATTGCTTATTGTCCTGCAGGGAGACATCATGAACTGCAGCCACACAACACCACTTCCTAGCTCCCAGGCTATGCAGGCCTCAGACGGAGCAACCATTGGGTTTTTCATCTCTCTGTAAAGCTCCGATTTGTCCACGGGGCCGCTCTGAGCCAATCTGTAATTGGCTGCAGGCTTCACCTCCCATCATCCTTTGCCCCGGACTGATTTCCCCCCAGGGACAGGGCCATCAGGAGCCTAGTGATTAATGGCACTGGGGGTCAGAGGTCTTTCTGGTGGGAAGTGCCACGGCTGAGGGCCCCTGAACCACTCCCTAAGTCCTTCCTCCGACTTCTGCAGAGAACACGAGAGCCACACGGCTTCAAACGGCTAGACTTCACATGATAAGAGATAGAGAGTCAGACAGGGGGGGGGGGGGGGGGGGGGGGGGCAGAGTCCGTCTAACTCGGCCTGTAAGGGACGATATATTCCGAGAGAGAGTTTTGTGATTACAGCTGATG